TTCATCGGGAAACGGAAAGGCCGGCGATCAGTGACGACTGCTGTCGCCGGCGTACAACAACACAGTCGTTTGTTTCGAGTGACGGATAGGAAGACTGGAGCTCAGTTTCTGGTTGACACTGGAGCGGAAGTGAGCGTGATCCCACCCACACCTTCCGAAAAACGCCATCCCAACCCAACTTTGGTACTACAAGCGGCAAATAGATCTGCTATTACTACATATGGGACCAGAATTTTGATCCTAGACATTGGCTTTCATACACCATTCCAGTGGGAATTCGTCATAGCTGACATATCGTCGCCTATCATTGGCATGGATTTCCTTCAACACTACGAACTATTGGTCGACTCTAGTCGCCATAGACTAGTCAGCCGTAATGGTGAATTTTCTATCACCGGTATCGCTACGGAGACAAAAACAATAAACTTAGTCGTAGCTCCAATAAACAACACTTCCGAGTACGATATCCTTCTGCGAGAATTTCCCGAGCTCACTCAAACGGATTACACGAAGTCCTCTCCAAAACACACGGTGACGCACCATATTCTTACAAAAGGTCCTCCAGTCTCATCAAAACCTCGACGCTTAGACCCTAAAAAGCTGCAGATAGCAAAACAGGAATTTGATAAACTTCTAAAGTTGGGAGTTATACGCCCTTCCAAGAGCCCATGGTCATCACCCCTGCATATGGTACCTAAAAAAGCATCAGGGGAAATACGGCCTTGCGGTGATTATCGAGCGTTGAATAAGCGTACGGTCCCTGATAAGTATCCAATTCCTCACATACATGATTTTATGAACTCTATGACAAAAGTAAATATTTTTCCAAGATTGACCTCGTGCGAGCTTACTATCACATTCCTGTGGAACCCAATGATGTTCCTAAGACGGCCATCACTACCCCTTCGGACTATTCGAATTTATTCGTATGCCGTTTGGTTTGACAAATGCTGCTCAAACATTCCAAAGATTTATAGATCAGGTACTCCATGGCTTACCTTTCGTCAGTGCATACATAGATGACTTAATAGTAGCTAGCGCATCTGAAACAGAGCACCTGCAACATCTGAGGACGCTTTTCGAACGACTGCGTGAATATGGCATTACAATCAATCCGCAGAAATGCGAATTTGGCAAGGAATCCCTACAGTTTTTGGGTCACATTGTTAATGCCAACGGTGTTAAACCGGTTCCGCAAGAAGTAGATGCAATTCGAGAATATCCTGTTCCAGACTCGTTTCGAAAGCTGCGAAGATTTCTGGGGTTAATAAACTTCTATCGACGTTTCATACCTAAATGTGCTGAAGTAGCCCAACCGCTGACAGATTTATTGCAAGGACGAGCCAAAGTGTTTCACATGACCCAAGCGGCCCATGATGCTTTTGACAAACTGAAGCTGGCTCTAAGTTCTGAAACTCTTCTCTCTCGTCGTGATTCAGAAGCACCACTAGCCATCATGACAGACGCTTCAAATGTTGCGGTAGGCGCAGTACTACAACAGTTTGTTCACGGTCAGTGGGAACCATTATCTTTCTTCTCGAAACGACTTAATGCTTCTCAATCGCGATACAGTACATTCGGCAGAGAGCTACTGGCGATTTACTTGGCTATCAAGCACTTCAGATATATGCTCGAAGGGTACTCATTTATAGTATTCACCGACCATAAGCCACTCACAAAAGCAATTGATGCAAAGCATGACAACTACTCGCCCCGAGAAATTCGACATTTAGAATTTATTTCACAATTCACTTCAGATATAAGGTATATCAAAGGCAGCAAAAATGAGGCAGCTGATGCTTTGTCTCGTATGTACGTAAACGTCTTAGAACGTGACCGTATTGACCTAGCAGAAATGGCAAAGTTGCAGGCCACGGATGAGGACTTGAAACATTTGAAAAACAATGTGAACACCTCATTACGTCTTGAAGAAGTGACACTTGATGACTCTGTATCCATCACCTGTGATGTATCCAAGGGTAAACCGCGCCCGTTTGTGCCGTTATCAATGAGACGATTAGTCTTCTCTAAGATGCATGGCATTTCACATCCTGGTATTCGAGCTACGGTGAAGTTAATTACTGACCGATACGTCTGGCCAAAGATGAATCGAGATCTTCGACAGTGGTCCAGAGCTTGTTTAGCGTGCCAGCGATCGAAAGTGCAAAGACATATTCTTTCACCTACGGGAAGATTTTCCCACCGGATGGCAGATTTGACCATATACACGTTGACATCGTTGGACCACTACCTCCGTCAAATGGTTTTAGCTACATTTTAACATGTGTAGACCGATTCACGAGATGGCCAGTGGCAATACCTCTGCAGGATATATCTGCCGAAACAGTAGCGAGAAATATCATCCAACACTGGATTTCTAACTTTGGTGTCCCAAGTGTCATCACCACAGATAGAGGTGCGCAGTTCGAGAGTAGTCTATTTCAACAGTTAACTGAACTTCTCGGGATCAAGCGCATAAGAACCACTGCGTACCATCCTGCATCCAATGGTATTGTCGAAAGGTTCCATCGACAACTAAAAGCAGCACTGATGGCAGTAAAGACTGATGACAAGTGGAGTGACAAATTACCACTAGTACTCCTTGGTATACGTTCGAGTGTCAAGCAGGACATTGGCTGCTGTACTGCTGAGTTAGTTTATGGAACTACTTTAAGATTGCCAGGAGAGTATTTTAACCCGGCAACAGACGTTCCACCGGACTTGACTAACTATGTACAACAACTACGGCGACACATGAGCACACTTCGACCTCAGTCCCCACGATACCGAGACAACCAAGTTTACGTACCTCAGTGCATCTCAAACTGCACTCACGTTTTCGTCCGACACGACGGCGTACGAAAACCCTTACAGCCCCCGTATGAAGGACCTTTCAAGGTAATTAGTAAATCAGACAAAGTTGTCACGGTCGAACGCTCGGGTAGACGAGAAACGGTCAGCATTGATAGAATCAAACCAGCGTTTATGGAACCAGATGTCACGGATACCAAGTCTGAACCCGCAGTGAAGCAACCGGAAACACCGAAAACCACCGTCAAAACAGAAACAACGGCATCGGAATCACCCAATAGTAGCGACGGTAGCAGAACCACGAGATCCGGAAGAAGAGTCCGTTGGCCACGACGTTACTTTCAGACAATTTACATTTCATAAAACCAATTCCCTAGTAACATTATTATCGTTTTTGCTCATTACCTTGTTGAAAACATGACCACACGATTTTGTCAGACTTTTCCGCACACACAAAACAAAATTTTTTCTTCCGGGCACCACGGACTTCCGAATCTCTTATTTCTTAACAATGTTCCAGGTAATACGATTTTGGTTGTTAATTTTTTTATCTCCGGATATATTATTACTTTGGTAAAGTTATTTTAGTGTTTCGAATGTCATACACTCCATTTTTATGTAAACACTCTTCCAATCAGTTTTCATCCTGATAATAGATATCCTTAACATTCCTCCTATGTTTTTAATATCTTCAAAATGAATTTACCTTTCTCATAATATTTTATATCGAACACAGATATTCCCTCTTATATCTGTATTCTGGGGAGGGACTTATGTAGCATTTTATTTCACTGTATTGTGTTGATGTATGTAACAACTCATTGAACACTTTTTGTTTAGTTGTACTGAAAAAGACTTTTTGCTCGCTCGTTGACTAATACAACATCCTGATATATACTTCGCGTTAACTCCTGATATTTACGCTGTCTGACGCAGGTGGATCAGCAGTGTCGGGAATTATAAATAGGCGATAGTGTATCTGGACACGTATATGAAATTTGGAGTCAGATTTCAGAGCTCGACAGGCTCACAAAATACTCAGTAACCCAAGCCATCCAAATAGTGGAATCCTACCGGACCGCCACCACGGCGATCCCCGTGGTAATCCGAGGGGAGTTGCCCACCAAAGAGCGAAAACCCGTGTACGATAACACTTCTTCTCTCTGAGAGTTTGCAGCCACTGAACGCATTGTCTGCCGAGATTGCTACTGCTCCATCTGTTGACAGCTTCGAGAAGAGGTTGGACAGTTACGCATCGACGCACGGTTTGCGTCCATTCAACTGGGATGTGGACTAGGCTGACACGGCTTACCAACTCGGTACGACCAACTATTACTGAACACTTTGTAAAACCACTGTCATTGAGAACTTGGCTTAACCTTATACCTTCCTGTAGACGTCCCCTCCAGTTACCGTCTCCTACTAAAAGAATTACTATATTCCCATTCGTCCTATCATGTTATTTATTCATCTTCCTTCTGACCTTACGTTCCCGAACTTTGACAAAAGCTCTCCCTATCACCTATTCCCCATGAACCAACCAGTGTTTTATTCTTCCATGCCATTTCCTTTTCCCCAATCTTTTTTTAATATATTCTTCTTCTTCCTCTTTTCCTTTTCTTTTTCTATTTTGTCCCCCTGTGCACTCTCCTTCTCCCCCTTAATTTCTCAGCACATATTTTTCATCTCCTTTTTACAGTCAGTCCAACCAATTGTCTGCTGTTACGACATTTGAGGAACCCAGCTGCACCACAGTCCTTGAAAGAAAAAGCAAATAAACAAACAACACTGCCTACGAATCTAAACAACACCCAACCGCCCGTTGGACTAGCCAGAGCTACAGCAGTCGAGTGAGTAGACCTACTTTATCGGAATCCACCAAAGACCTGGAACCGTTCCGCAAGACCTAGAAGCGAGAGCGAAGAAATCAATTGGCTTACACTAGCTCGTTAAATGATATTGGATATTGGTCCTAGGTAAGGTTGACAACTTACTTTGTCTATCATTGCTTTTCTACATTTCACTTGATACAACCATTTGTTTCTAACTCATTTACACCCCTTCCTAATCACCCATGGAAATGAGTAATAACCGAGTCCCGCCAAATATGGTATCGGCAACAGCTTGTAAAAAGATATTGAACATTGGACCGCTCGACCTTGGGAAGCACCGCATGAGACGGGAGTTTGATGGCGTTTCGGTCACTGACGGAAAGCTTTACTTTTATGCGAAATAATGCCCTTCAAAATAGGAATTTCTTCCGGGACGATGTGAGTTTACATTTGTGCTTTTCTAAGGTTTTAAACGGATATATCACTTGAAACTTACCATACGGTAAGAAAAACCAATGCCGGGATTTCATTTGGATGAGTTGTTAAAAACCAGTACAAGCTAACTATTATACTGAAATCACATAGACAAATGCCTCAACGATGCTTAAAACATACTGAGTAGTAATGCTTGATTGCAGTCTTCGCAATACTCAGTCAACATTTTTGCGGTTACAACTTGGGGTCATGTTTCTGATTGGCATGAAAACGCGGGATTGTGCAACATTTCCCCAAGTATTTGACCCTCGTGTTTTCCTGATTTGCTCTGCACTTCTTATTCACCGCGTTTTCCCACGATTTGCCTCGAGTTTCCCAGCGAAAATGTTGACCGTGTACAGGTTTTTTTTCCTTCACTCAGTTTTCACCGGTACAAAGATCCACTTGCTTTCCTGCCTAACAACTACACTAAAAATGTCGGATTAAATATTTTCCTCCTATTTCCCTACTATCTGGTTGCAGGAAAAGATGTTCTAGCAGGCGTAGTTTGTGTTGTGATATGCAAGCTTGACCGCTTCTAGGCAGCGACTACCGATCAGGAAGGGATTTTCGCGAAATTGGACTGTTTCAAGCAACTGTGATTAAAAACACTAAATGTCTACCGTAGCTAGCTTGCAATGGTTAGACCAAAGCAATGGTGCATCTATTTGTTCTTACTTGCTTCTACGTGGTAGTGGTTTCGTATTTTGGTTTTAATTCATGAAGTGTTTGGACGTAGTTTTGTCTTAACAGTATTTAGTTCGCTAGCTGTCGGTATTGTCGTCTTCCGCAGTACTATTGTTACAAGCTCTCTATTTCGCTTCAGATTTTCAATTTCACAGTTTGAAATTGTGCTTCTTGTTGTTGTTGTTGTTTCCAATTGGTTATAGTTCCAGGTTAATGCGTTGTCCAATATCCACTATTGATATTGCAAGCGTGGGAAACTGATGGTTTCTGATCTCTCACGTCTAGCCCTTAGGGCTTTGTTCGAGTTGTCCGGCTCACTCCTGCAGTGGACGAGGAAATCCCTTCTGCGTTCTTGCTTTTAGCTTCAGTGAGGTGGATGTTTTGTGGGTTAGTAAGTTGTAATTTGTAGAGTGACTGGGGAGGTACGGGTTGCTGGAACGGTTATGGGACTGTCATGACTCATGTCTGAGTGAGAACGGTAAGGCAGTGGTAAAGAATGAAGAAAGGAAGGAAAAAAAGCGAAAAGGGAGGAAAATAAGAGAAAAAAAGTATGTGGGAGCTGCCCGGATTAAAGACCTTTAGGTGCGGCCGTCAAACATCTAATGTATTTCCAAGGCATTACCATGTCAGCTTCATGTCCACAAAGCACGACTTCAGAATACTTTTTTTTATCGTAGAATCCAGTTCTAAATACTCATGACATTACACCAAGTCAAATTCAGGATTTTTGGGTTCCACAGTGAATATGCAAGCGTATATACCAACGATTCGCCATCTGGGTCTACTTCACATCCTCAACTAACGGGCACAAAGTCAGTTATTGTGACTCATTATTGACTAGTTTATCGATGGCCCTCGATCTTGTAAAACACTGTGGATTCTAAAGACCCATGAAATGTCCCATGATTCCTGATACTCATAGCACTTTGGGATATGTTTTTCCTTATCATGGTGGTTGAAATAAAGAATAAGGACTGTTAGAATCGGGTCTAGTAGTTTTTCATCGAGTGAAGTTTCGGTTGTGAAGTCTAAATATCGTGAGACATCGCTGTAGGGTACTGTACTGTTCCTACTTACTGCTGAAGATCCGTAGAACGTGACGGAATGTATGTCTGTGCTCACAGACTTCTTTCGATGATCTGGCTAATTTAATTATCACTATTTATGTCTCTCGGATTGGGTTCTAGTTATATGCCTCTTAAACTGCTTTGACCTAAATTGGTCGAGGTGGGTCATTCGGTCGATGAACAAATTATGGCAGTTTTTTGATGGACTACTTTATGGTAGGCTTTTCAGTTAGTTAGGGTTTTTAAAATCCCTGTTGAGTAGTTTATACCATGAGTATTGGTTATTCCCTATTTAATGTAAATCTGTACGTCTTAGGTTTCTTATTAATTACTTAAAACGTTTGGAGTTTTTTTTTACTTCACTATTTAGCACTAATTGTATCGTTCTTTTTTATGATTTCCATTCATATCTAGAAGTCTGACCAAGAAGCGCTAGTATCCAAATCTAGAAATAAAGGAACTGAGCGAGCTTCTGAGAAGTTTCGTAAAGAATGGTTTGCTTTTGGTTTGCAATGATTATAACGTTTATAGGCAAAATAATGTGAACTCACTTCAGTACACCTTCAGTACAATACGACAAAAAAGTAAGTATGTTGAACACAACTCTTTATAAAGAAAATTATATTTAGTGAAAGAGGTTATCGCTCTCCATGATAGAAACCTCATGGCTTCGAATTTAGACGATAACTTAGACGACGATCAAGAAATAGAGCTTCAAACCAAAGAGCTTACTCAAGTAAGTGAAGTAACGTTTTCTTTTTCTATGTATCATTTGGTGTAGTAGTAATTTCACCCTGACACTTCCCGGTGTGACGTATTTATGGTGCGTTTCTTATTAACTTATCTGTCAACAAAATTGAAATACAACTCAGTAACAACGTGTATCTTCGTGTAATGCTTGATAGTAGAGTTGGATTCTGTAAAAGCTCAACTCATCTGCTAGTATGGTTAAATGGTATGCTTTAGATACCCAACAATTGTCGGTTTACATACCAATTAAAGTTCGTGCTTTTTGGGTCCAACCGTCATTAAAAGATTGTCTGTACGTATTGATCATCTTAAGATTAGTGAAACAAGTTCAGAATTCAGATTTGTGCTACTGAAAATTACAGTATAGGTAGTAGAGTTTCTGTCTATCTAGAACCTTCACATTCATCGATGATAATTTTTTACTGTGTTATTCATGTCATTAACGTAGGAAATGCTCCTTTTACTGACGAGCTACCAGCATCTTGTTACCATGTATCAAAATACAATGAACAAGTTACTAAGGTTACTACTAATGTACAAATATAAAACCAAGACTACGAGAAATGTGACATGTATGAAGTAGTCTAATCATGGGTAGTAATATATTGTATGGTGAGTGAAATTCAGGGATGTAATTTAATATCAATCGATAGAAAAAAGTTAACAGGTAACCGATTTCACTTAGGAAATTCACTAAGGGATAATGATGTTGCATTCTACGAAAGCGTGACTAACTGATGTAGTAAACCAATGAGTCATCAATTTGAGCTATCTTCCTCCACCTCAGTGCGGATAACTGCATTGTATCGTTAGCCTTAAAGTAATAAATCTTATTCACCCTTCCATAAATTGAATTGCTTTGGTTATTCAATTGAATGTAACATAAACTAGCAAGTTTTCAGTTGTAATTACATAGCTCAGAAACTGACTGTAATGCAAATCCATACATTCTTAATTTCACTGTAATCTACATATGATAGTTTCTTCTGCCTTCATCTCTTATAATACACAAAACGTAGTTTGTTCTCTATATCTTTGAAGCGTGTTAAAGTAAAAAGGAGATATGTAGGCAATACTTTATTATCGTAAAAATGGTTTTTGCGTAACAAAACGAAGGTTCATTTTTCCTCTCTACTCACTAATTAAACCATCAGTATATTTGATACCGTTGGATTTCCATGTTGAATTTTTTCCTTATTTATAAATAGGTTTCCACTTAGTTAGACTGCTTATCCACTTCTATATTAAAATGGCACCGAAGGTATGAATGTTGGCTAGGTTGTCCAGTTAAGCTCTAAGGTAGTAGTGAACACAATTATGTATCTAAACTATATTTTCACACCTAAGGGTTCATTGGTTTAGGAACTCCATCTTCAACCAATGGGTCACGGGCCCGAACCCCACTTCACCTACTTCAGCTTAGGCAACTTTATTTCATAGCCTAGTACATAAATATGTACTGGCTTGTTACACTACTACGTTACCAACAATATTACCTGGATAACCTAAATGAAACAAATGAAGTGGATGCTTGCTGATATTCATGCGGTATAGTTCACGTAATTCTAAACCTAATGGCTTTAATACTATCTTTAAAATGGTAAATTCCCTTCAGATTGACTTAGTACAAGATTTACCTGCATTGTAACGGATTCTTTGCTAGTTACTGTTTTAACAGTATGTGCTTGTTCAGTTGTGTTCCCAAAATCACAATTGCTGCAGCAGAAAACTTTCAGATATTACTGCTATCAGGTACGTCGTCAGGGAAATACATCGTCATAAGTTTTACTAGCTGTTAATAGTTTACTAGGTGTACTCCTAATGTTGGGTATTACCTAGTGATGACACAACAATAAATTCATACTCCACTCCATCAGGACAAACTACTGAACCACTTCTTGAGAAATTATCACTTTCTTCTAAAGTTTGAGCTGATAGTGTTTTATTAGAAAAGACAATGAAAGCCTCATGTTTGAACCATCCGGCTCGGAAATCACAACAAGTAAAAGAGGAGCAGTGATCCTCAGGTAGAATGAAGGCTTTATGATTGAAGTCTTGTACTCGAGGAACGAAAAAAAACCACGATGGTATATTTCCTTTTTATGTCGTATATTACAGCACATGGATTATCATGTAAATATATTAATATTTTACATGGTTTTTCCTTAATATTCTGTAAATCTGCTCTTCAAATTACTTTGCAAAGTTGTTCAATTTATCACATGGTCAACTAAGTCAACTATCCAAATTAAAACGTTCTTCAGCATTATGGCAGCGATCTCAAGAATCTAAGTTAGCAGAAAATGTTTTATGCAGTTTGGCACGAACTCTTCAAGATCTTTCGGTAGCATTTCGAAAAGCGCAATCCGAATATCTGAATAGTAAGTTGTTTCCCTTTTCAAAAAACATTATTTAACAAAATTTAGTTTCACTTTTGACAAATTCATCATGGTAAAATATCATACAACTTCCCATAGTGATCTTATAATGGATATCACTGTCATCATTTTATTTAGTTCTGTGTAGAATGTATATTTAAACTTAGATGTTTTACGGTAAGCGATTGTTTGAATGAACATATATCGTTTGGAAATCGCAGTCTCAGACTGACACATTAGAAATTGCTGTATGTCAGCGCTTCATTTTATTTTCTCACTAATACCTTTCCTATTCCTTACCCTTCTTTTGACGGGGACAACTTTACTGACAAATAAATATGACTGGTAAGTATTAATTAGAATTGAAGAGATTATGGATGACACCATGATTCAAATCCAGCGGAATAAAACGCACTTTCATGCAGTAGGCAATGAGCCACATTTATTGTTTGAGGGTTAATGATACTATTTGTCTGTTCAAACACCAGTAGGCGGAGCGGTGTTTGGACCTTTGACCCACTGGTTGAAAGCCAGCTGCCTAAACCAACGCACCACAGCTCCTTAGGATTCGGGTTAGTAGTTGCTAAACTTTTAAATTCCCAGATTTAACTGTCATCCAAACCGTAATTTGAGTTTGGACCTAGCAAGCGCATAGGAATCATGCTTATTGCAGACATGGTTGGTAGTGAAAATTGAAGGATGTTGTATAGCCGTAGCTTGATCCTAGTCGTCACAATTTATGACAACAATTTAAGGAAAGGCAAAAAAATGGCGTACCTTCACCCACCTCTGAACTCAGATCCGCTATGGTTTTAGTCTTTGATTGAAGGATGGATATTTCACCAATCTTTATCGTTTTTATTTTTCTAGTCGTCTGTGGTCTTCCACTACTGTTTTGTCTTCATTGGAATTCTTATTCTTTTTGTTTTCATCTTCGTTAACCACAGCTGATATTTACTATGGGTTTCTATTTTTTTTCTTTACTTTTGCCATTGTACTTTTCTTGTGCAGACTGGCTACGCGTCGTTTAAGGTAAAATGAGATGTTTCTCAGCAACTACATACCGGTTCGTGAAATAGGCTATGAACGATATATTTTATCATGGCTTATGACACCACGTGGTTAACCGAACCTCAGCAGCTGGAGTGTGTTGATATTCGACCGCCTAAACCAATCAGCCACAGTTTTACACATCACATCAGTAGTTTTTCCGACTGCAATACTACTACAGCATCAGTCGTATGGTGGAGTACATAGTAGAAATCCGGGATTGATAGGAAGCTAGCGTTTTTCTCATCTTCCCACTATTAACTATCACAATTTTTGGGCTTAGCTGATATACGTCAATATTAAGGATAACTTTAATGAAGTTTTTAAATAGTAGTTTATTATTTTTTTGCAGAACTTCGGTCCAGAGATGAAAGAATACGTAGCTATCTAAACATAGATTTGAATATTGGTGACAATTCATCACCGGAACTTGTAAATGAGTTTGAGGATGATGATTATGCTGTAAGTCTGTACAATATTTTGATATTTTTCCGGTTTTGTTATTTTTGTTACTTTTTGCGTGTGTAGGTAAAATGTTATCTTAACTTTTCATATAGACTGGGCTCATTTTTGATGACTTTTAGCAATACAGAAACCGTGGTTGATATCAACTCCACCAATGTAACTGTAAACAATGCAACTAAACAGAAGCTAGACGGTGTAATACTCTACATGTATATAATAACCAGACTCGTTCTTACAATCATTTGTATACAACTGAACCAATAATTGATCACAATCATTTTAGCTAGAAAAATTTGAGTCATTTGTGCAGTTGTTAGCGATTCATAGGGACGGAGTTGATCGATGTATATTTTATGTATGAAAATACTTCATCCATGTTCAGTACTCAGTTTGATAAATATATATTGATTGGTCAGTATCAATCATATAGAGGAGACTCTACCTATCTGCTAGTTGGGATGTGTGAAGTGAGCCTATGGTGAAATGTCCGGGAAGCTGTACTCATCGAGTGGTGTCCGTCAAGGCTGCCCACTGTCTCCATTCTTATTCAATTTTATCATAGATATTCTTATGGAGGTCTCATTCGCATCACCTGATTACACAGAGGTTGACCTAATCGCAGGAAAATTTTTGTTAGACCTAGAATATGCAGATGACATAGTCAGTCCTGTTAGGTGAAGACGCTGACGAGATGCAGAGTCTTCTGAACACTTTGAGTGGGAATTTGAGAATGTTTAGGATGCGTTTCTCATCACTCAAATTCAAATTATGGCTCTAGGATTGGTCTTCAACGGTGCCACAGCCAACAATAGAAAGTGTAATGATTGAGTGCGTCGACCACTTTATTTATCTGGGAAGTGGGATCAGCCCTGGTCGCTCAGTGGGTGATGAAATCTCTAAACGAATACAAAAGGCTCGACTGGCTTCTGGCAACTTACGCCACCTGTGATGCCGCCATGATATCCGATTGTCTACTAGGGATGGTGTGTACTGCACTTGCACAGCAGTCCGGTCTGTTCTACTGTATGGCTGTGAAACATGGCCATTGAAGGTGAAAGAGATGATAAGGGTTGAAGTGTTTGACCACCGTTGCCTTTGTAGCATAGGCCGTATTCCTTGGTGTCACCACGTGAGTGAGTAACGTGGAAGTCAGGTGTAGCATTTTAGGGAGAAGAGGTAAGTCAGTTGACGAGGTTATGAACCTTCATCGACTGAGATAGTTTGGATATGTGTTACGTATGCCTAGTCGCCGATTGCCTCGTCACACAATGTTGGCCGAAGTAGGTTTAAGCTGGAGAAAGGCTCGACGCAGCCAGACTAAAACATGGCATCAATGTATGAAGTGTTTGACTGTTGGTTTGAGGCATGTAGGGTGATACAGACTGGGTGGTTGGGGTTCACAAGACAAGAGGAACCAGTCAGTAGTTGGAGACTCTATTTGATGATATGGCTGAGAACCGATGTCAGTGGCAGAGATGTATATGCATACATTATCCTCATCTTAACGACGCTATACTGAATCTCACCATTTTCGTACCTTATATTTCTTTTGACTGAATTTTCTTATCTTCATCTTCCACTTCACTGTCTTTTTACTTGATGTACTGATATTGAGGTGTTGCAATTCGGACCCGTTGCTTAGTAATACCTAGTCCTGTATTGATGATGATGATGATGATGGAGTGTGACGTGATGCTAAATCAGTCTTTCTTATGCCTATGAATTCACCTTTTAAAATAACTCTGAACACATACCTGGCTAGTCCCCCGTCTTGGATAATTTTCTACTAGCTCTCTTTTCCTGTTTATTTCTCCGTACTGACTTGAATTATCTCAATATCAACCCAGTGTAGTGTTGTCTAACTAATTTTTTGCGTTGTTTTGGGTAGTCGTTTGTTTTTATGAATGATAATACAAAGGAGGATGGCCGTATCAGCGACGTCGAAAATTTGTCTGTTGCTTATCAACCAGTGTAATGTGTATGTAACAGTTATCTAACTCGTGAAAAGTTACATTCTTATAAAATAAAGTAGTGATATCACGTCTTCTTGTAAACTTCAGTATTTCCTACGTAAACTTTGATGTTTGTGTTCACTCAATATCTTTTTTTAATCGAATTTAGGTCTGGGAATCTCAAAAACAAAGGCGAAGTTTACTGCTAACCGAGAATACAAATATGGTTGTACAACGCGAACAAGAAATTAATCAGATTGTACAGTCGATACACGAATTGAGTGAAATATTCCGAGATGTCGCACAAATGGTTTTGGATCAGGTAGAAGTTTGACATTTTGAAACCTGTTTTGTATTTTGTATCCATCTCTGGACTAGGCTCAATTCACTAATGCTCAAGATTCTTAACGCATAAGTTGTTTAAAAATGATTATATGGAAACACTAGATTTTTTTACTGCTTACTTTCCTTCATAAGTAAGATATCTTTGCAGCCTTCGAGAAACTAACACTCTCACTGATTACATTATTGTGTGAGGCAGATTTGAATTTCATCTTAGTGAGTATAAGTTGGCTTCATTCTACAGATGTATCTTACGATTAGTACCCCTTGGTACAAAATAGTTACTTCTGTACTAGATTAGATTATCTGATATAGCTTGTAGAGATCCAGTACTATGCATCGGATGACATCTTGAGCAAAATATGTTGTTCATAATCATATCAAAGTAACCATCCAACCTCTAAACTCCCTTTCTATAACCCAGCACCTCCATTTTACTCCTAACGTCATCCAATAGATCGTTGGTTTAGGGAGATGGTTTCCTACCAATGGGTCATGAGTTCGAACCCTGTTCCACCTACCGACGTTTGGGCAGCCAAATAGTAGTATCATTAACTCCTACACAACAGATGTGGCTCACTACCGCCTACTGCACAAATGTACACATGGTTGCTGAGTGGGTTTCGATTCGATTCGAAATTTATTTGTGAACTCACGCGATCTGTTCACATACTGACTGCACATTTACCTGTTTTTGCATCTAATTCTCCACGTGATAAATATAGTAAAATACTGCGGAATTGATGAAAGGGTAAAATGGTTAGAATATGATCATTTTTGTACATCAAAAGAAAAATGAATCAATTGTTCATAACATCTAACCATATATTCATCTTTTGTTCATTCTCAGAGTTTACACGTTTAGACTTGTCTCCACTAGTAAAGTATCAAGGTTATTTGTACGCTGTGCACAACTTTTAGAAAGAGAAGTAATAAAGTTCATTGCCAGACAATGAAGTTTTGGCTCACTTGTCTAGACATTTGACTTTCAACGAGTGTCATTGGTTTGAACCCCACTCCATCTGCCAAGGTTTTGGCAGCCAGGTATTATCGCCAGTTCTCAGACAACAGGTGTGGCTCATTCCCTAGTGCATGAAAATATACATGTTTACTGAGAAAGATAATGCACTGTTTCAGTGTTACTGCAGGTGATTACAAAAATGATATGCAGGCATTCAATTCGTTACTTCATCACTGTTATTTTTTGCACACACGGAGTGTATTGCTTCTTGTTTTTACCTTTAAATGTGTTTTTATTTACATTTTGTTACACTTAGCTGCTTGTCATTGGCTGAAACTATAGTCCATTAGCACCAACCTGAGTTGCTGAACACCTCACACAAGGGGGCTGTTGCATAGGGCAATATCTAACTAATCTATTCTGAAATCACGTCCACCGTTCATAAGTTGACACAGATGGTTAACTGGATTGAAAGTTGAATCTACTCAGTTAATGGGGATTGTTTTCTGTATCTGTGTGGAGACTGAGAGCTGTTTCTATCCAGCACCATTTCCCTACACAGCTATCACTGTTTTCATACTCCGTGTTTTCCCCCTATCACTCAAGTCCAGGCTTAAGTAAACCACATTTCAACTAACAACTTCAACTTTTTCTGGAGCATATATTAGGCTATATTGCTTGCTACGTTCATATTGTGTTTTTTCTAGTCATCGTAGTTGTCCTCCGGAACATGTCAGCACTAGCGAATCAATCGGTCTCAGTTGTACAAGATTAGTTGTTAAGCCTTCAGAAGATATAGATGCGCATTAGCTGCACCTACAAAACACTGTGAAAGTGGTGAGTGAAGTTGCTTGGAGCTTTGAAGAAGGTTCCTTTAATAAATACAAGGTGTCTCTATGAGTCCCTTACAAGTTCTTGAGATTCTTCGGTCAAGACGCACGAGATGGAAGCATTATCTGCATGTAACATAACTCGGAGATTGTTACATCTTGACGAAGTCACTATCAGCGAGAAGTTTGGTGTCACTTAAATGGTCTGTGAAGTAGATAGCTCCAGGACTAGTCTGCAACGACTCTCAGGTTAATGATAAGGAGTGAAGTTGCGGAATATGTCGATCAGTCCACTTACTTGGTGAGTTGCATTAGCCTGAACCGCCGGCTGGCTGCTGACGAAATCTCAGCCTAGATATAGAGGGTCCGTCTGGCGTTTGCCAACTCTCGTCACCTGTGGTGCTGACTGGCAAGATATCCGAGTGTCTGTTGGAAGACGAGTATACTGCACTGCAGTCCGTTCTGTCCTGTTGTACGGCTGTAAGACATGGCTGTTAAAAGTAGAAGACATGAAGTGGTTGCAAGATTTTCATCATAGGTGTCTTCGTAGCACCGCTTGCATGTAGTGGAATTACTGTGCGAGCGATGTTGAGGTCAGGCAAAGAATACTAGATAAGACAGGCAAGTGGATTGGTGTTGTGAACATTAGTTGACTGGAATGTCTTGGATCCGTCCTGCGCATGCCGAACCACTGCCTACCTGGACACGCCATGCTGGGGGGAGCTGGATTAGGTTGAAAAAGAGTTCAGGGTGACCAAGACGTGGCACCAGTCAGTGAAGTCTCTTACTGTTGGCGTGAGCCGTGTGGGGAGATGTAGACTACCTGGTTGAGGTCGCCGATACGAAAGGAATCAGTAGTCGAGGTCTCTTGGTGATATAGCTGAAAATCGGTCACAGTAGTGCAGATGTATTCACTCATTGATATCTTCTAAAAATTGAATGTTCGCACTTGCCTTTGTCTCCAGATTGTTTATTCTCTCAAACAACTTTGTCTACTTTGATATCACTCCTTTCCTATCCATCTGTTCTTTGTTTACTACTGTGAAGTGTAGCAACTTGAACCGATGCTCTTCTGTGCGGTGTTCTACGTTGATTTAGTGAATCAGTCAGATTGGTTTCAATCATTGACTGTCGTAGTCTGAAGTCTTCCTGTGATTACCATGGAGGAATCAGCCTGACCAGCGTATCTAGGATTCTAGTTTCAATAATCATTAAATGCCTAAGTGAAGCTCTGGAAGACCAAGCCAAGGTAAACCAAACAGGTTTCAAACTTGTTGTTGGTGTATCGATCAAGCATTCATCCTCCACTAGTTGCTGGAGCATAGCCACACTTGCCGGCCCCGAACATGAGCTGTATATCTTGATTCACAGGGGACGCTTGACTCCTTCGATTGAGAGGCCTTATGGCCTCGTTTGTTAGTGAAATGGATAATGGATAAATATGTCATCCTGTTGGAGACTGTACTCGAACACCTATAGGTGTGTTACAGTATACGGTGAGTTGTATTCGTCGTATGGTGTCTACCAAGCATATCTCCTTTCTAGTCTTGTTTAGTTTTATCAGAGATGTGCTTGTGGAGGTTTTCACCTCGTCTAACTGAACGAGGATTGATGCTGTCATGGGAAACTCCTTAGTAAAACTGGAGTGCGCAGATGGGATAGTCCTATTAGGCTAAGACACCCATAAGATGCAGAATTTTCTGGACAGAGTTGCAATTCGAGAATGTTTGGCATATATTTCTCACCACCCAAGTTCAAATTCTTGTTGCAGGATTGATCTTCGTTGGTCCCCAGTCTAACAACAGGAAATGAAGTCGTTGATTGTGTTTGCCACTCTCCTTATTACAGAGGTTGGATCAACCCTATTGGGTCAGTGACCAACGAAATCTCAGAGCAGATACAAAAAACTAGATTACGCCATCTGTGGCTCTGACATGATATTCGATCACCTCTTAAGGCCCAAGTATACTGCAAAACAACTCACTTCCTTTCACGATCTGGTTGTGAATCATGACTAATAAAGGTAGTCATCATCATCAATATCAACATAGGACCAGGCATTACTGCGTAACGGTCCGAGTTGCCACAGCTCATATCAGTACATCAAGTAGAAAGGTAGAGGATGTGACGAGGCTGTAGATACTCGTCTGCCGTCACCTCCATGGTGTAGACTGTGTCGTAGTGCCACTGTACCGACAAAAGGTACGTCACTCGCAAGTTATCCCCGACTAGTCGCCGTCTACCTTGATGGTAACATGGCTTAGCATCTATCTCACTGATGCAAATATATCCACACATCATCCCTAAACTAAACATCATACTGAATTTCAATCATGTTTTATCTCCCCTTCCTATCTTTTCAAGACTTCCTATTACTGTTGATTACCTTCTCATTTATCTATCTTTCATCTTGGTGCCTTCTACGGTGGTGTGCTGATATGTGTGATAACAGTTACACAGCAATGGCGAGTCTCATCTTCATACTGATTTAATGAAGAGACTGCATAAACTCAGGTGCCGGAAGATATTTGGCCCTGACAGCCTACTTAATGCGCTCTTCAAGATTGAAGATGACACACTAATCTGGGCGCCGACGATATTGTTTGAGAGAGTATAGCTGACTGAGAGTGTTCCATCACTCTTGAATGAAGCCATTGTTGTGTTAATTCTTATAAATAGTCACTGACCTGTGTATGATGACCATCGAGTTATCAGTCTGCCAACAATTGCATCTAACATATTTTGTGCGATCTTCTAAACCCATGCGAAACTCGTCAGCGAGGAGTAGGCCAGGTTTCGTTCAAGTCTTGGATGCATCGATCTCATGTTCACGCTCCATCAGATGCTCGAACGCCGTCACATACATTGCAAAGTTTGTTGATATTAAGACTTTCTTCAATTCGTTGGACAGACCCGTGCTCTAGAATTGTCTATTGGAGAGAGGTATTTCTGAGATTGTTGACATCTGGAAAGCCCTATACTTCAACACCTAAGATAGAGTGAGTGAGCCACCTATCTTTATTGTTGCAAACCAACAGTGGAGTTAGGTAGATCTGCCCATCTTTACTGTTCTTTTTAAACTTTACTATCGACAACATTTTCATGACATCTCTGAAGGAGGTACATGGTTCTGATGTAGACCCATTGCTAGGTAAAACACTTCCCGACCTCGAGTTTACGGATAGTATTGTCTTACTGCGCGACAACATACTGGATACTCCAGTCTTGCTCAGTCGGTTGACGATCAGTTTCCTTAAGTATGATGTGTACGTCACACCATCGAAGTGCAAAGTGATTTCGTGATGCTGACAGCAATGTATCTGCACTCACCCTTAGAAGTTTTGCAAAGCTTATCTACCTGCTTCGTCGTGTGTGGTGGTGGTTGGGGGGGGGGTGTTGACAAAAACTTATAACCATATATGGCAATCCAGAGTGGGGCACACCAACCTGCATCACGTTTGGCGCCGTTTTGATCTTACCCCGGATATAAATACTGGGGTATATAGCTCATAGATGCTACTAGCTATGCTTTGCACCTGAAAAACTTGACCTCGGAGTAGAGGGTATCTGGCAACCCTTCCTGTCCGACGTCTCCACAGGATTGCCATCATCCGGTGGAACACTAAGTAATTCTGAGGTGAAGCAACACGTACTTGATCATGATGGAGATCGTCATTCATCTGTTGTAGTCATCTTGAAGTTCCCACTTCATTATCTTTGACATAAACTGCGAATTTCGTCCTACCAGCTTCCGTATCGTTCATTGTTTGCTAGTCCTTGGATCGGTTGAAAGAAACGGAGAGGTGGCCAGTGTGTGAATTAGTGCTGGAATATGAGGGATATTTGTGTTTGGTTAACATGTGTTGGCGTTGGGACCCGAAGCAGCATGCACTATGAGTGGTTTGAAACAATAGCAGACCTGACTCAGAGTCAATGTCAATGGCGATCATGCCTCAACCCTCCTGTTTCTTCTAGTGGCGAAACGTAAAAGAAAGGTAATGAAGTCTTCTTTAAAGATGACTTCTCTAACAAGCCATTTCTCTTTTTCCTTCCATTCTGTTTGTCCCTTGTTCCTACCCTCAATATCACGTTTGTGGTTTTGATTTTTTAAAATTTTAAGTAACACATCTTTTGTTGCCTATTATGTACAAGATTTGTATTTTAAATGTATTAATAAAGACACGTTTACTGGATTGATTTGTACTGTTAGTCAAACTAACCTAAAAATTGACCTAGAAGCTTGATGCCAAACCCGATAAATGTGTGAGTGAGAAAAGAGGATGAGCAAGGAGGTTTAATAAAGATTTCAGGAAAGATTCAGAACACGTGTGTGCTATGATGATGAGTTATAAGACCAGATCATCAGTGATGTCAAGCCATCGGTTCTAAACATACTTATAACTCCAGTCATCCAGTCTATGCTTATCTACACGACTAAAGCTAGCGATCAGAAACTTGATAAAGTAATGTCTGGTCTGAATTTGGCCACCTATAACTTCTTTGCCTGAAATGAGGTGGAACGTACGATTACCTAAACTCTAGTTCAACCATCTGATTTTTCGGACCGATTTTCAAATACTTCACCCTTTACTTACTATAGAGCACTCTGCTGTCGCACGACTTTAAACAACAGTTTTCAATCCAGTCGCTAATAATATATTTTTTCGGATTGAATTTTCATTTACTATAGTTTTGTCAGTAGATAAAATAAACACATCATGAAGATATGATAGATTTACACTTGATAGTACAAGATTTTCGTATTTATATAAGTCGAAGAATCAACCGTATATTTTCCACCTCCGAAGTTATATTTTACCTTACATCAGAGAGGATCTTGATTAAGCGATCCAACCAAAGCTATGCCGTAGTTGCACAAAACTCGGTATGTCTTTAAACAGGAGCCCAGGCCACCTGCCAGACGACGTGTGTGTGAGAGAGGGAGAGAGTAGCTAAGCGCCTTCATCAGCCACGTCGTATTGATATAAGCAGTGCATACTTATTCGTTTGAAGCCGAAAACTTTGGTAAATCTAGCCTAAGTAACCATTTGTTTTATATCACCGTAATCTTTCTCTTTGCAAAAATTGGTTAAAACAAGTTAACCGCTATTAATAAACTAAAAAACCTGTAGTGATTAATTTGTAAATTGTTGTATTGGCTAGCTATTCAGAAGCCGAAATGCAATTGCTTTTAAAAGTTCTGTACCACTTTGGTATACCCTTACTTATTTTATTATATTTTATAGGGTACACTGGTAGATCGTATTGACTACAACGTGGAACACACTCAAATTCGAGTTCAAGAAGGTTTGAAACAGTTGACAAAAGCTCAGACTGATCAATCCAAGGATCGTAAAATGATTATCATCCTTATATTGGTAGGATTGGTTGTTTTCTTCGGTGTTCTCTTAATTGTTACAAAGTTTCGATAATTCTGGAAATCAATTTCACCCTGTAACTTGTATCCTATGTTTTTATGTGACAAACAGTTATTGTGTTGTAACAACTTGTCTTTCATACTTTCCTTTGATCTAACCTGCCTCCGAATTTTATGCTACTCATTATTCGCTGTAGTAGTAACTAATGTGAACTGCAATAATTGCTAACTACTAACTAATATGCAACAAGCTTAACAAAATTATTTAATGTTTGTAAATATGTCACATTGTGTTGCAAATTGTTGTGATTTAGATGTTTTTCTTATCTTCATACATCATCATTCCCTTATATCTGGCTGTCATACGAGTAGACTTATTCAATACATGAACTAGTCGAAGTGGATAAACACATGTGAAAAAGATCTCTGAAAATACAAAGATACATTCCGTAATCGTAACTTTTTATTGTTTTCATTTTACACTACTACCCTTGTACTTACTAGTTTGATGATGAATATTGCTTTTAATTTCGATGAACAATATCTTTTCTCATTCTTTGCTATTGTTGCCATTTGTTCATAAAAGCAAATATGCTGTGCATTATGAATCAGCTTGGGGTTGATAGGTTGTAAATACATACAGCATATATATATATATATATATATATATATATATATATATATATATATATACTTTCCAATCGGTGTAAGAATGTGCATGTATATAAGTATGCATAGACTTCTATTGTGGTGGTGTGGTTACGCTTTATAACGTAAAAAAGTAACTGTAGCCATTTAACGGGTGTTGTTGATGAATATTCAACATTTGTAAGACTCACAACTGCCTGGAATGATGCGACGAATTTCTATACAGTACGCATTACTCTGGATAGGTAGTGTAACAGCACATATCACACAAAGAACGTGGACTATGGTCCTTCTTTATCCTCATTTCGATCTCCTTTGCAATTATCTGTGTATGACTATTGTTATAGTGTGCAATAAGATTGTCAAAATTTTCTAAAAAAGCTGTAAATCCCGAAACCTTTTACAACTAGTCTTTTTGCTCTGAAGTTTCGGGAAAAAGTACGTGAATCGATGCGTAAATACTAGATTGGTTGAAGTGACAAAAATCTATGGGATATTTCCATCTACAAAGGCCTGGAGATAGTCAAGATCATTGTAAGTATGTATAAACCGTTGTATTATGTATGTATTTTGAACGTACTGCATCTTCTGTTGTCTTACCGCCTTTTTCCATTTATCAAGAAATTAAGCGACCATCAAGGCGTGGGACCTGGTTACTGTTCACGCGTCCACGCAAATATATATAATTCAAGTTATATTAAGTCACTACAAAGATATAACATCTATAAAAGAAGAAAGACTTCACCGAACAAATTCGTTTTCGGTGATAGCATCCCCAACAGCTGTACAATCACATCTGAATGGTTAACAAAAAATGTCAATCGATAATTCTTAGTAGATTTTGGTCAGGAATGGAATTTTCCGTAAGAAACATAAGTATGTGTCAGATGAACTTCATCATTGAACGATTCGCAACAAAGTGAGTAGACAGTTATTAGTGTTGAAGGGAATAGGGAATTTGCAATTGAGCTAGAAACATCTACGTAATGGCAAGAAACCTAAACAAGGCTGGTTGATTAAGACTTGGAAGTTTTGAAAAAAACCAGTCGATTCACACTTCTAGTGTCAGTACTATTAGAACTTCAGCAATACAAAGTCAACACTTCCTGACACTATTGCAAAAATTAGTGTTTTATAGACCAATGCAAATAAATCTCCAGAGACTGAATCCTCTTGCAAACGAATGTTGGGAGTACTGATGTATATTTTGGGTTTATACTGACCCATCCTGAGACTTCTGATGGTTGTCGTTGGACAATCTGTTTGTACGTACCAGGCTCCACAAGCCATTGCAAGTAATCAAGTGGACCTACATATACTCAAACAATTTGATCCGGATATTCAGATCAATGCCCACTGCAGCAAGGAATTCCTCCTTTTTGAACAAGCTACAATAAACCTAGTATCAGTGAGACCGTCTCCAAAATTGCTTCATCAATTTCATAGCATCGTCCGATTCCGCGATCACAAAAGACACCAAAAACTCATTTCACAACATCCACTTCCTGCCATGCCCCTAAAATACAAAGACATAATGACCATAATACATGAAACCTTCAAAATACCACATCTATCCTTATACCATCACTCAACACTTCCCTCAGACACACTACCACATTTCCATAAAAACTAATTCACCTCAAAGTTTTTCACTTGTCATTTTCACACCATTTTTACAGCATGACTAGACTAGTAGGTTATTTTCTGCCCCCATTTGTAATGTAATTCGCTGATTGGTTGATCCTTACTCTTACTATGTCAATGTCTCAAATTGCGAACAAGGTCATATTTTGTGCGTATGCATAATCACGTGCTTTTCGATGAATCAATTGATTATTATTCTCGGAGGAATAAATTCTCCCATCCAGCACCTCCGGTCTTCTCTACTCGTCCCCGGTTGCAGTCGGTGGCTCTTGCATGCGAAGTTATCTGTCAGTTAGGTGTGCGTGTTATCTCCGTTCGGAATATATAACACTCGGCGACGGTGTTAAAAATGGATGTACAGCGATTAGAAAAATTGATGGAGAAGCAACTGAAGATGATGGAACTGCTTACTGGTCTGAGCGTCACTCTATCTACATCCTTCTCATCCTTTTTGGATGGTAAAATTGGTTCCAGTATTTCGGAGTCTGTATGCAATCCAGATACTAACATCACCTTTGATACATGGTTTCGACGATACGAAGACCTCTTCAGAGTTGGTTTTGCAAACGAAGACAACGCATGGAAAGTTAGACTTCTACTCCGAAAGCTTGGTTCAGATGAATTGAATCAATATTGTAGTCTTATCCTTCCTTCCACAGAACCCAGGCGATAGAACATTTGAATGAAACAGTGGGACTGTGAATAGGGCATGTGAACAATTCAAGTTGAAGTCGCTAACAGACAAACAATTCAAAGTGGTCACATTGATTTGTGCTCTTCAGTCCCCGGAATTCGCAGATATACTCACACCTGCTGAATCGTCTGGAACTAGACCCAGAGCTGACATTGGAAGATATTGGTGAGGAATATCAGCGATTACCTAATGTACGTCAAGATACCACCACCCTTATACAGACTGGCAGCCAGAACTCGACAGAAGTGCATACTATAAAACACTCAGGTAGTGCAACACGCCGCCCTACAAACAGTATCCAGCGAAAGCCACCATCCACATGTTGGGATTGTGGAGCTTGGCATTATGTGGAGTCGTGCCCCTTCAAACAACATAAGTGTCGCTATTGTCATACGGTGGGGCATAACAATGGGTTTTGCCACCAGCCAAGCTCAGCTAACAGAAAAAGAAGCTTATCTCGTCGTCGATCTACAACAACCTCCCTCAACATCACGATAACTGTTCATATCAGTAGCCCAGTACAGCGGAAGTACATAACGCTCAACATAAATGGTCAACCTTCATGCCTTCAAGTGGATACACAGTTTCATATCACAGTGATTTCCCGCGAATTATGGGTCAGCCAAAAATGTTGACAACGAGACAAACAGCTATCACGGTATGTGGCGGTAAGCTTCAACTGGTTGGTCAATTACACTGTTGTGTTTCATTTCGAAATACTACTTTTGATAGAGTTTGTAATATTACTGATGCTAATCTCAACCTGTCGGGTTTCGACTGGTTCGAGAGTTTGAAACTCGCCGATCTTCCACTGACTATGGTCTGCAACAAAATGGAAGTAGTGTCAGATGTCCCGATGAAGACGCAGTGGCCCCATTAGTATCCACAAGGGATTATGCAGTTCGCAGGTCCATTACATGGAACCTACTATCTGGTTGTTGTTCTTGTTGATGATGATGATGATGATGATGATGCTTATTCTAATTGGCTGGAGATCGTCACAGTAACACCCGTTTCATCACGCCGAACAGTTGCTGGTGTTACAAATATTTTCACCTGCCATGGGTTGCCCGAGACCATTGTTTCAGTTAATGGGTCACAATTCACCTCCCGCGAGTTTGCCGAGTTTCTCAATGTGAATGTAATCCATCATATTCGTACACCACCGTACCATCTGCAATCCAATGGCCAGGTAGAAAGATTTGTTGATACATTTAAGCGAGCTTTCCTCAAAGCAGAAAGAGGAAGAGGGCATACGGATGTCATACAACAATTTCTACTCGTCTATTGCTTAACACTAAATGATACCCTACCAGATCGCAAGTCTTCCGCAGAAGTTTTAATGGGAAGGAAGCTATGTATGCCACACTATGCAATGTTACCATCACGTCGTGCACAAACAACGCAGACAGTCGAATCACACTTCAGCAAGGGAGAATCCGTCTGCATAAGAGATTACACACCAGGACATGGCATGTGGACGGAGGGTGTTGTCATGGGAAGACGTGGGAGTGTGATGTACGATATAATGATAGGTCGGAAGAAATGGGAGAGACACAGGAATCAGATGCGTGACAGAAAAGCCAACCACACCACTCGATATTCTACTGGATACGTTCAATTTACCGACGACGATGGAAAAAGCCGAAACCAATATCAACCAGCAGCCTCAACACAGAAGATATACGGATCCAGAAGCGGTCTCAAACAGTTCGTTTCCAACTGGACTCCAAAAATCGAGGGTATTAATTTTTTTTCAGAGAGAGGAGGTGTTGTAAGGCCCCAGTCTTCCATAAAACATTGTTATTCATCTGAACGTTTTTAACTTGTCATTTTCACACCATTTTTACAGCATGACTAGACTAGTAGGTTATTTTCTGCCCCCATTTGTAATGTAATTCGCTGATTGGTTGATCCTTACTCTTACTATGTCAATGTCTCAAATTGCGAACAAGGTCATATTTTGTGCGTATGCATAATCACGTGCTTTTCGATGAATCAATTGATTATTATTCTCGGAGGAATAAATTCTCCCATCCAGCACCTCCGGTCTTCTCTACTCGTCCCCG